TCTCTCTCTCTCTCTATATATATATATATATATATAAATATGCAATTTTCTAATAATGCTATATTGAATAAATGGTGAAAAGGACAAGCATTTATAATCAAGTGTCTCAGCACTTAATAATCGCACTTATCAAACCAAAATAAAATAATTAAATTAAATTCGTTAACTAGGAAATCTGTTTCCCAAATAACTGTCCTCAACATTTGAAGTAATTCTGTTTATATTTATTTCAGAAAAAAAAACATAACGCGTCATATTTCATTCAATTTCAGATTATAATCAAATTCTTAGCGTGACTAGCCCGGGCAACAAATTCAACTGTCTTGCGGAGAATTTAATTTTATTTTATTAATGGAAAACGATGAAAACAATATTATTCCTTTTATTTTATAACCGGGGTTGAAAAGCCGACCAAATTCTGAGTTTACAACGTTTAATGTTCAACTCCATAGCTTTGTAATTTTAAATCCAAAAGGAAGACAAGGAAACGCCTTGATAAAGCATTTGTACAAACTAACCTTCAAGGTGGACTTTTCGATGAAATTTTCCCGCATTTGCATTACATGGCGAGAAAAACCACAAAAACCTTCAATGGTTAGCTTGGTGGTAAAGTTCTAACTAATGATCCTTCTATTACTGCGTATATTTTTGTCAGCACTATGGTCGGTGAGAGCCACGACAGAATTCATATCACTTCAACGTATTACTTCAAACTTGAGACACCTTTATGAGAGACAAATGCTCTACTCCCTAATATACCGAGGTTTTATTCTTATTATATGAATTTTTTCAAAATAAAACAAACTTTTATTGGTTAAAACTCTTACAATGGTCTCGATATTTTTTATTTGAAGAATAAATCCACCCAAAGAAGATCGATCATTTAGTTTTCCGTAACCGAAAAAAATTAGGAACCGCTTCTCTAGAGAATTAAGGAAGTGGAAAGGCTATTAAGTATCAAAGCAATGCGTTGCCATGAAAGAACATTAATAATACTTTGATTACAGTTTTCTTGTTACTACTGTAATTTTGCACATAATTGCTCTATTTTAGAATCAAAACTTAAACACAATATTTTTCATGACAAATTGGTAGAAAATTCGGGAATTCGGATAATTTTTAGTGTCTAGAGAAATTTTTTTCTCCGCATTGGTGAACTCTTATTGATGTGTATTTCCTTGCAACGAGCAATTCTTGCAAAAATGATGTACCAGTCCGTAAAAAAAAAAAAAAAATACTATTATGAATAACTTTTGATCTAATGATCTGATCTTCACGTTCTACGACTCAATCTTATTGATTCAAGAGGGTACTATCAAATATGTTAATTGATTAGTGCAGACTATATTTTAAGTTACGAAATCGGATACAAAAACATATTTTCTCTGAGGAAACAAATATTTTTTTCTAAAGATTCGGATTTCTAACTCCCAAAATATAGGGAGTAGCCTCAACCTGGGAAATATGCTCCCCTACAGTTGGATCAGGAGAGCAGGAGAGGGAGAATTTGGACCCTAATGTTGCTTTTACTTTTTGGAGTATATCAACACCTCATGAGAACTTTTCAAGAGAATTGAAAAATTTTTGCACGTAATTATAAAGATCGCTTACTAAAAGATAACTCCACACAAAATATAGCTTTTCGTAAATATTTGTTACTCTTAATTTTTTTTTAAATAATGGTCGAAAAAAAATTGAATTACAAGATATATAATTTTTGCATCATTTTGAATGGTGTACAATGGTACTTGGCAAAATACAAATTTTGAGCAAAATCGGTTGAATAATTCCTAAGAAATGTATCTTAAATTTCTGCTTTTTTTGTAATTTGATTTCTCAAGTAATGCTTGACTGATTTCATTAAAATTACCTCATTTAAGAAGATGTAAAAAATTTCATACCTCACAATTTAAAATTTTTTGACTGTAATTAAATAAAATAGTATAAACAATTATTTACTAATATTTATTTTTTGCGTGACATTATCTTTTGATAAACGAATTTTATAATTGATGGCGAAAATTTTCAATTCGCTTAAAAAGTTCTTGAGATACGGCGCAATGCTCAAAAAGTAAAATTAACATAAAGGGGTCCAAACTTTGGATCGCTCTGCTGACCAAACTATCGGGACAATATTTTTAGGATTGCGCCTACCCCTTATACCTAGGGGATCAGAAATCTGAATCCGTTGAAAAAAATAGTATGTGCTTATTCAGAGAAAGTTCATTTCTGTTTCTTATTTTCTTATTTCATAACAGAAATATCGTCTGTTCCAATTAATCAGGATATTTAAGGTCACCCCTTCGTATTTATTCCTAGAACCTGAAGATTCGGCCATTAGATCAAAAGTTATTTAGAGCAATCCGTTTTTTTGGCATATTGTACATACATTTCACGCAATTTTGCTTGTGCATTTTTCAGCAATGTGCAATTTTATTGATGTGCATTTCTCTATAATGTACTATTCTCATAGTAATAACTGTCGTAGAGCAAATAAAACACTTAAAGGCATATTCAACCATCAATAAATGAATGAGCAGTTATTCATTTATTTATTTGTGTTAAAATGTGCAAGAAACTCGAAAGAAGTTGATATTTTGGCAACAGCATAAAAATGTTTTTGTGATAAAACTAAAGTGATAAGTTTCGGATCCATTATAGCGTCTCGTGATCAGTCAGTTGCAAACTTTTAATCACATTGACACGTGACCAAAGAAACACTCACGTGCCGTCTACCTTTTCTTGGCTTAAACTTGGCCGTCTGCCAAATACGTGAGCACTGCTTTATTCTTCACAGATGACTTGTTTGAAGTGTCCATCTCAATGAAAACAAGTTATATATAAAAAGTGGAAATCATTGTGAGGTCCATTTAACATTAGCAAAAATATGTAATAGGACATTTCCTTTTTTTAAAAATCATTTTGAACCATTTATGTCCTGTGAAGCCTGAATTCAAAGCAGTTTGCAGAAAATATTTTCAAATTATGTAATGCATAGTCATGCACTTTTCCCCTTTTATTGCTGTTTCCGTTTCCTTATATGGATCGACACATATTAATGGATCTACACATATTTATAGATCTGCACATCTAACTGAATTATTGCAATTTATTTTTCAATTCTGTATAAATTTTATTAGGAAATTGATAAAACCGTAAATGTTAAAAATTTTTTCGACATTTTAACAAACAAATGCTTAAATATTAATTGAAACGTTAATGGCTACTTGCAAATGCGTTTATTTTTGTTTTTCCTCGTTTCATACATTTTATGTCTTTCGAAATTATAATTTATAGCAGTTTGCTGGTAATTTTCTCGAATTTCATTTTTTTATTTTATTTCTCAAGACTTTTTGCTTGTTTGGTTAGTTCACTTTATTATGCATTAAGTAATATTTTGTGATATTACTAAAAACAAAAATTACTAATGAACAATTAATAACAGTCAGCCAAAATATTTTTCTGCAAAAAAGGGCGAAAAGGAAAATTACATTTCGTTTATTCCTTCATTGATTAAAAAATATAAATTCATGTTTTTTCCCAATAAGACATAATAGACATTTAACAGTAAAAATTTGTTTCCTCTTGAGTTGCAAAAGAACATTTTTATGGGATACTCTATACTTAAAAATAAGACTCCCTGATACTCAACCATCTGACCTATAACCTTAGCGCCAGCTGGTGGCTTATAAACAAGATAGCTTATTAATCTTACAGCTGATGGTCTTGCTTAATTGTTGGCTTCTTTTCTCTAATAAAGAAAATTAATAGCTCCTTTCTTTTGTTTTCCTAAGTATTAACTATATATTTCATAAATTTATGAGAATTCATTAGCTACGAGATGGTACACATGGCACAATAAGAGATTATGAATCGAATTCCAATTTAATGAACTAGTCTTTCTCCAAATAGAACGGTAAGAGCAGTTGCTATGTTACAACAGTCAATTAGGATCAATACTTACTATGATGCCGCTTGTAGTTGCAAATAAATGCAAAGTCTTGTTTTAACAAAATTGTTTATTTATTTTGGTATACTTCAAAAGCTCAATCATATAAAATAAGTTTAAACTATAACCTTTTATTTAAAATAGTAGCATTTGTAATAAACAATAAAATCTTTCTTCATTAAATAATAATAATTCTCTAATAAAAGAGTGACCATATAGCACAGTTTTAGTAAATCCTATTCAAAAATGCTCCCCAAACGTCTAAGAACGTGTAAGATGTAAAATTAAAACAAGTGTCACGGTTATAAAAAAAAGTTGATTTTTAAAATTGACATGAATTTTGGCTATACGATTATAGATTTGAAAATTTTGAAATTCTACTTGTCTAAAAAGTGTACCAGCTACTCGTCAGAAGCGACTTGTTTATTACCAATTGAACACCAATAAAAACTTAATCTATTTGACGACAATAATATGTTCCAAACAAAATGAATTACAACATATATCTTAAGACATGATGTAACAGATTTAACAAAAATATTTCTTGAAAAAGCGAATTAAGTTCTAGTATTATATACTAAATATAACATTAATATTAAATATTACATATTTTTTGAGCTATTGATTTTAATTAAAAATACTATAGGAATGAGTATTTTAAGAAATTTGAACTCGAAATAATGTTGTAATTGGTGTTAAAATAAAAACATTTATCTCATCTTATAAATTACAATAATCAAAAAAAGTAAACTTTATGTTACGGTTGATAAAGATATTTTAGTTAAAGAAATAAAAAAAAATTCATGTTTTCAATATAGGAAAGTAAAGTTCTAACATTACAAATATAAACATTCCTATGTTATAGTAAAAACAATTTTTCGAACATGTAATTTTCTTTATTTTGTTTATACCTTTTGCCATTGTTCACATATTGCATTGTATTATCCCATTGTTCACATATTGTATGTATTGTATTATTTGTTTCTAATATTAATCATTGATGTTGTGATATCATTTACTAAATATATATTAATTATTACAATTTAACAAAAACTTTTTATTTCAAGTTTCATCACATAAATTTATGTATCGTAATTTTTATATGCATCTCTATGTTGTTTAAAATATGATCTATAAAGCTTTCATGTACTTAGGATAAAAGTATAGTTAAAACTACCTGAATACGATAAAATTTACAGTGTTATTAGCTCCATGAGAGCACCAAAAAGTTTGCTAATTCTTACGGAAGCGCTTGTAAATGATTAAACAGCTCAAGATCCTCATGACTTGATCCGTAGCATGCAAAATGAAGAGAAATTCGAAAAATAACTTAAACAAAATAGTCAGACAAACTGTGAAATTACACCACAGCATGAATTTAATATATCTTGATGAATCAAAAATACACAATGCGCAAGAAAATGTTGAGGATTCAGTTGATTTTTTCATAATGAAATAGATATATACGGCAGACCGGATACTCAAAATCATTATAAAACAAAATAATTTTTATCATTACTCAAAATCATTATTTCACTCTAATCACATGGCTACATTAAGGATTTATTATGCATTTAAAACTGTTAAAAATTTAGTAGAGTAAAACAAAAATGAAACAAAAAACGTGTTTCTTGACACTTTTAATCTATTGATAGGTTTATCACAAACTAAGATTCAATCTTAATGGCTTCAGGGGATAAACTTAAATAACATAAAAATATGTAAGATTTAACTATTAACCTTCCGTTAGTCGCGCGCACCTCACAGGTGCATCCCTACTGCATTTCCACCTCCTTTGCCGTCAAAAGATTTTTCCGGGGGTCGAGCCTAATGTTATGTTCCTAACTTTGGATTACTCAAATGTCCGTGTAAAACCGACCTTAGAACATGTCGATGGAGAGTTGGAACCGCTCAAATCACCCCTCTGGTGCAGCGCGACCATTGACGCAAGTATTATGGATATAATATTTTTATGAATTAAATATATATATTTTATCTCATTTTCTGTCCTACTCAACGTAGCAGGTATAAATGGTCAAGTTATATACGAAGAAAATGGTGACGGAGTTAAAAACCGCAGAACCTTCTTGCGTCAATTGGTTGATTATCTTGGGATGGAGGAAGAGATCCGACGCGGGAGCAAGAAAAATTTATCTTCGGTACTTCGCTAAATAAATTTTTTGATATTTATCTCTGTAAAGAGTCTTAAATTGGAAACAATTAACTATTTAAACTAGACTAAATTTCATTTGGCTTTCAAAAAATCAGAAACACCTCATAGGTGCAACGCGATTAACCATGTCGGAAACAAGTGCGCGACTAACGGAAGGTTAAAAAACATGACATAGTCAAAACAACTATAACTTAAAAATATTTTTAGTAACAATTAAATTTATTTTTCTTTGCTTGTACTTTTCACATTTTATAGAAATGTTTAAACATATCATGGGTCAAAAAGAAGAGCATAATTATATTATATATTTTTCCAACCTCTATTCTTTGGTTTAAATAAGTTGGCAATACATAAAAGTTTTATAGTAACAGATAGTTTTCTGAATTGATTTCTGAATGAGTACTTTTTTGTTGTGAATTTTTATAGATAAGCCGGTATGGAAGGACAAAGATGTCGACACATTTTACGGTGTATTAGGCTCAGAAGGAAATTTAAGTTGTGAAGCTGAATCTGAACCTGTACCAACTTTTGAATGGTTTAAAGGTCGAGCTCTTTTGGGTAATAGTAAAATATACAGAATTTCAAATGGAAAGTTCAAGAGTATTCTTCAGGTATTTAACTCAAGATTTTCCAAATTCACACATCTATCTCATATAACGTTACATTCACGTTAAATTGTAATTTAACGTGAATTTAAAGTAATTCGCAAATGTTATGCATTATTATCTAAGTAAAGTCGATACAAATATTTAGCATAACCTTACCATACCTTATGATACATTAGTGAAGTTCAAATGTGGCATTCTGTAGTCGTGTAAGTATTATTTATAATACGGAATTTAATGTTACATAACTATAAAATAGGTTGCATTAATATATTCTATAGTCTGGTTAAAAGAAGAAGGAACAAATAAACACAAATTCTACTGATAAGAATAGTAATATTTATGAATAATTTAATAAAAAATAATAAGAAAATCTGTGAAATTCATACCATGAAAAAACTTGAAATGGTAAACAAAAACAGACTCTGGCAAAAAGAAAAACCAGATTGGCATATTTATTGAAATATGTTTTTTCAGGATATTAATTATTTCTCTTTTTATTTAAAACAGAACGCATTTCTATCTTTTTATTCAGTGAAGATGCAGTAAAAATATTCATATGCAGCTACGAGAAATTTCATTAAAATATGATAGTTCATTCAAAAATAATCGATAATTATTTTTATGAATTTAATTTTTTGTTCAACCTTTTTGGAATAATGATTTTTATCGAAATTTTTTCCATACATTCCAGATATTGGTGCGGTAATTAAGTCATTAAGCGTACTTTCTTCAGTGAAACTTTTTATTCATGAGTTTTAAACTTTATTTGAAGTGAGAAAGAGGAATGAAATTGTTTAGGTTCAATTTATTTTGATATGAATGGGCAGAATTTTGATAAAACGTCAATAGTTGAAAAAAAATACATAAAAAGTAATGCAAAATATGAAAAAAAACTATGCATTCATACTAAGGTCAGTGTTTTTTTTCTCCCTTTGTTGAAGTTCTAACTATTATTCTTTAAAACAAATCAAACCGGAAGTCTTGCGATCCTTTCATGTTGTCATGGCAGTTCAAATTAGTGAAAATTAATGCATTCATATGATCAAGTGGAAGTTATAAACATATTCTTATTGTACTGCCATCTGCAGATAATAGAGAGAACCTCGATCAAGAATAATGTGAATTGAATAGAAATTTTGTCGGATATGGAAATGATTTTAAAGCAGTTGTTATCTGACAAAAATAGAGTAAAAATTTAACATCAAAGGGATTTTTCAATATGCTCTTTCAGAAAAATTTAGCAGATTTTTGCAACTTAAAGTTTTCTTTTCTGATTTTTGAGATTTATTTTACTTTCATGTTAAATGTGTTACCCAGTTAATCAAAAAAAAATTGTGCACCTGTTTATTTGCCCCATTCATTTTGCTTACGTTTATTACTATGATCTAAGAGATGCATAAAGATACAACAAATAATGACCTTGTTATAAACAGTGTCTGAATTAGATTCGAAATATCTAGATATTTGTCAACCAGAGACTGATGAACTTGGTGTTTTAATTAGTAAGGAAAACATATATGAAAACAACTTCAAACCTGCTTTGCCGTTCTATGTCTATAGCATAAAGATTTTAAAAATAATATAAGAGAAGATGAAGTGGGAAATTTCATCCTAGAGTTAAGTGCAACAGAAACGTAAATGTGTAAAGCCACATATAAATTCAAATGAAATTTGATGAGCCAACAGAATTGAAAAGCCGAAAACTCCGAAAATTTCGGAAAAATGTCACGAACTTATGAATTGCGCTCCGCTTGATAAATTTTAATATCTATTCCAGGATACTATGTTGAATATATCGTTAATATATAATAGTTTTATGCTTTGAAAAGATTAAGTTATTAATATATTTCACAAAATGATAATCTACATTATCATGAATATTATTTTGTTTCAACCAAGCATATCTTCTGGAACAAAGCTCAAGCGATCTTGTTCACTCTAATTGAAAACTGTCATACGATTAAACTACACTTATACTATTTTTCACTCATTTGTTTATTAATTTTTTGTCTTTAGATGGTCTTTAGTAGTTAATTTATCAAATTTCGAGCTATTTGATTTACCCTTTCTTAATTCAGCATTTAAATAATTAATGAGGATTGAAAATTGTTTTAAACTAAAAAAAGTGTTTTAGTTATATCAAACTACATTTCTTTAAAAACAAAAGACAAAATTTGGGAAGAATAAACCAATAAGTTCTCGAGAAATAAAAATTTAGTATAACATTAATTTTTCAATATTACTTTGCAATAAATGAGAAAATGTACAGCTTGCAATTAAATGTTTCTTTTCTTATTATTGTTACATAAAATACTAAAAAAAGTTAGAAATAGTTGTAAAGACAATATAATGCGGAAATTTATTTTTCAGCCTAGACACAATTTCACTTGCATGCAAAAATTTTCTTTTTTAATAATTCTAGAAATGTTGCAAAACGTATGAAAAAGAAAACTAACATTAAGTGAAGAAAAAAAACTTTCGATCTTTTTCCTGAGAAATCTATTCAGAGCGAATTTCTCGAAGTGCTGCTACCCAATGTAATTTGAACTCGAATCATTAAAATTGCATCGTAATAAGAAATAAACTAATTGCAAAAACAAAAATTAATAAGGTGTTCCAATTTTTATTTTACACTCAGTACATCTCAGTTAAAAAACTCGATAAGCGCATTTCGCATTATTTCACTTTAAAAAATTTTAATTATTTTCTCTTGTAGAAGTTCTTTTTTTTCTGATAAAACACTGAACAAAACTGTAATGTTGTGTTTAACTATAATGTGTTATCAATTATAAATGGAAGATATTTCAGTTAGAGAAATAATGCTGGAACGGTACTGAATTAGACAACCTAGATACTGACTAAATTTAAAATTATTAAAAAAATATTTTACTACAAAGCATTTAATCAAAAAAATGGTGAAGAAAAAATAAAATACTAAGATGAACACAAAAGCATTGTTCGGTGTCTAAAGCTTTATCTCTTTTAAAGGCATGTGAACAATATATTTCTAATTTCAAGAGTCCTGGAAAATATTTTATACAACTGTCGGGTATGAAAAATAGACATTGTTTTTTCTTTTAAATTTATGAAAAATATAGAATATTTTGTAACTTTATCGTCAATTCAATGGATATCTCTAAGTATCGAGAATAAAACTTTTCGATGGAATTCTGATTTCTTCTCACTCACCGGATATCAAATTTTCACCGGAAATGTAGTTCGTTGAGTTTGGAAATTGAATTGCTATGTCTTTTATTCAATTCCTATTCTTTATTTCTTGTAGTGTGGTAATACTACAAAAGAATTCTATATAAGCGTAAGAAGATTTCTACACTGAAATTCTCTGAGATGAATATATAACAGAAGATGCGGATGTTTCTTTTTTTTTTTTTTTTTTTTTTTGATTTTNTTTTTTTTTTTTTTTTTTGAAGTTTTGCTTTTTACTGGATGCAGCCAGATACATACGAATATTTTTTTAACTTAATTTCAAAACTCAAAGAAAAAATTTAATTATTTTTTTCTGTTCAAATTTTTAATAATATTTAGTGTTAGCATATTTTATAAAATATTTTTAATATTAGAAATGACTAAAGAGGACGTATAAGCATATTAACTCATATACTAATGCAAACTGCACACTCATTTATCCTAATTTCACTTACCTAAGAAATTAAATATCTATATACGTAAAATGGCATGAAACACATAGTAATGGTATTTTTTGTTTGCTAATAAGTGTCTTAACGCTATCTTTTAATAAAATTAATTTTTAAAGGCAAAGAAATACGGTTAAAATCGCTATATTTAATTTCAAAATGAAAATATTTAGTAAGATCCTTTACGATTAAAGCGAAAAAGAAATTAAAACCTTCAAAAATCGTTATATTTGACCAATGAAAGTGAAAAGCTGTTCCAAAGGCAAAACACACTTAGCATTCTATTTCATCTGTTAAAAAAAATGTTTTTAGGGAATTTAGTTTCATCTGATTGACCTTAGTGGTTTACTTGACAGATTTCAAAAATGTCTTTGTTTGTCTGTTTCTTACCGCTTAAAGTTTAAGTTACAATTGGTTAAAACAATTTGTATATTTATATAAAAAAAATTTGCACATGGTTTTTAAAATAAAATTAAAAATATATACACATTGATACTTTATCTACATAAACTAATAGCTGTCAAAAATTTTCTACTGATTGCGCAAATAATTATTTAATATCATGCTCATATTTACGTTCTTTTTTAAATCTTTTGTAATCTTTCGTCTTTTCCCCATGTTTTGATTAAATGCTTTGTAGGAAAATATTTTTTAGCAATTTTAAATTGAGTTAGTATCTAAGTTGTCTCATTCAGTGTCATTTCAACATTATTTCTCTAACTAAAATATCTTCCTCTTCTAATTGATAAATATAGTCAAACACAGCATTACTGTTTTGTTCTGTGTTTATCAAGAAAAGAAAAGAACCTCTACAAGAGAAAATAATTTAAATTTTGTAAAGTGCAATAATTTGAAATGCTCTTATCGAGTTTCTTAACTGAGATGTACGGAGTGCAAAATAAAAACTGGAATACCTTATTAATTTTTGTTTTTGCAATTAGTTTATTTATTATTACGATGCAATCTTAAATCATTATTTACTTAAATTTTCTATTCAACAAAGACTATCGATTTTTACATAACTTATCACGAAAAGCTCGTTATTATTTTTACAAACATTTATTTTCTCATAAACTACAAAATAAATTCCGACTGTGCTTAATTAAAAGAAAACATTTTCTCTGTTCTAATATAATATGATCATTATTAAAGCTAAAACCATGTATTCTTGTTCGATGCCATAATGGATATCTAAAATGCGTTTAAATACGTATTTAGCGAATATAAGTTGTAATATGTATTCATTTTCAGGTTAAAATCAAAAGCCATTCTAACTTAGGAACGTATTTGTGTCTTGTGAGTAATCCTGTAGGAGAAATACAGAAAGAAATGTATTTGCTAGAAGGAGGTAATTATTTAATCGTTAATTTAAAACGATTATTAATTTTTTGATTTCGTTTCCACCATCTAATTAGTTTAGCTCAAATGCTGCATTGTTTCAACTTCACTCTCACCCACGCTGTTTCGACGGAACCAGATTATCATTTTGAAGCTCATATTTAGATTGCATGATTGTTGCTCGTCTCGGATGAGTCTGAGCCCCCACTTTTTTATACTTATTGAATATGACATTTCTGAATGCTTCACAATATATAATACAAATTTACCATAAAACATGGAGTCTCAAACTACGATGCGAGGGTAAACATGGGGTCAAGATATGAAAAATGCAATCAAGTTCTAAATATAGTGAATACAAAAGGTGAAGATCAGTTTAAGCTACCCCTACCTAAATTAGGATCTACCTAAATCTAAAATCTCACACTGAAAAAAAAGTATGATTAAAACTACCGCATTTCTTCTTCCATAGAAGCATCAAAAAGCTAAGTAATTTTTACCGAAGTACTCAGGCAATGATTTTGGTAAAGTTAACAAATTAAGAAATGGTTTTAAAACATGCAGTAAAATTGAATCATGCTATCTATGATCATGGCATAAAAACCATCCATTCAGTTAAATCTATTTTCAATTTTGTACTTTTTGTACGCGTGGTAATAAGAACTATAATTTTGAAAACTGGAATTTCCGGTAAATCGTTGCGCTATGAACGGAAAAATTACCAATTAAATGGTTTAAACACCGTATGTTTTGGTTTTATTAACCAGAATTATGTTTTTTTCCACTGAAAATGTTATTACTAAACAGTACGTGAATTGCACTAGAATTGTTTTACTGTGGTTCGAATTTTGAAAAAGTAAATTTCCATTTCTCAAGAACTATTGAACTAATTTTTCGCAATTTTTATATTTCGCCTTGCAAAATTATTAAATTTTAAATAATATAAAAAATTGCATACCTAAAGAATCAAAATTTTCCAACTATTATTAAATAAAAAATAAATATTATAAGAAATATAATATTATAAGAAAAAAAATATTATTTAAAAATATAAAATAAATATTAAAAGAAATATTAACTGAAATTTATGTTTTGCATAGAATTGTTTTTGGATAAAATGAATAAAAAATTTTTAACTCGGATAAAAAGTTCTCGAGATATGGCGAAATACGCAAAAATAAAATTAACATAATAAGGTCCAATATTTGCTTTCCTGACCATATTATGGGGACCATATTTCCCAGATGGCGGCTAACTCCTATATTTTGGGGGTCAGAAATCTGAATTCGTCGAAAAACAGGTGTGTTTATTTAGAGAAGGTGTGTTTGATTAAATAATTGGCTAATTAGCATATTTGAGATGACCCCCTTGTACCATTAAGATTCAGTCCTTGAAAGTGAAGATCCGATCAACAGATCAAAAATTAATTAGGGTGGTCTGTTTTTTTCGGCGCACTGTACATGAAGTATAAGTTCAAAATCAAGACATTAAAGAATCATCTATGGCCCTTTATTTCTGGAATTTTAATTATAGTTTAGAGTTTTCTTTTGAAACATCATTGAACACAAACTAAAATTAATCAAGAAGTTAATGCATGAGTTTAAATTCTAGAAAGTATTTCTAATTTTAAAAAATTATATTTATTTAATTTATGGTCATTCTAGTACCCCATTTTTCCGAATATTTTGAAAGAGAGTCACGTGTATTTATTTCGACATGTTACATATCAGGGCTTTTCACTTCACTTCCTGACACAGATATTTCTCATCTTTATTCTTTCGTTTATTATTTTAACTATTTTATTTAAGTTTGCTCTTCATCCATTATTGCTTAAAATTTTTTCCCTGTTGCAACTCATTTGCCTTGTGTTTTCTATTGTTATTTTGTCTTTGGACACCGAGGAACGTTGTTGCTTATGAACCAAAACTACAGTATTTTGCAAAATTTCTTGTGCTTTATTCACGCTTTTTAACTTTATCCATATGTCGCACAATGTATACCCAATCTTACTCAGATTTTGAAAAAAAATTTAATAAGTCTCTAATATTTTTATTTCCAATGAGCTGCGCAATCGGTCTTGCCGATGAGCAGACCTAGTGCGTTCGCCAGAGGTGGTATCCATTCTTTCAGGACCACCACAATGGGTGAGATACCGTTGGTCATGTTAATTTGGACGTCTAGTTTCTGCCACACTAGATGGCAGCACCGATACTATATTTGGATGCTAAAGTGCACTAGGAATTTAATTTTGCGGAAATGCCAAGAGCCAATAAGGCACTCCAGGGATCTTTTACATGCCGCATAATCATACGGCATGGTCGCTGAGGATTTTCTGCATTGCAATCTAATAATAAAATTTTTAAAAAAATCAATAAGTTATTCTGGGTTATTCCACGTTTCGTTGGGTATATATTTTATCTTGTTTCCTAACAAACTATCACTAAACTTCATTTTTTCTTAATTTTAGTTTCCCCTAACCCACCAAATTTCTTGTTGTCGAGCCCTGAACCAGGAACATTAGCTGTGCAAATACATCAATCACCTTTGGATTCCTTACCTATAACAGGTTATAAGATACAATGGAAACTTGCAACTGATTCATGGAGATATGCAAAGGAATATTCAACGAGTTCAGGTACCTAATTCTATAATAAATAATAATCTGCTTTAAGTAATTGAACACGTTATTCATATATAAGGCCGTTAATAAGGTAGATCTTAGAAAAACGGTGTTATTAGCTGATAGTCCAATCATAGAGCTCAAAAATGGATATTACCTGGAAAAATTAGCGGGAATATTTATTTTTTGTACACTTATGTTTTTTGGAGTGCTGAAATCGAATCCGCATTCTATGGTCAAGATTTATTTTCGGAAAATATGTTTTATTAAGATGAAAAATTTTGAAAATCTGTTTTTTGCATGCATATTTTTATGTTTAAAGATAAAAAAATTTTGATGACAAATTTGAAAACTAGAGAAAGTTTTAAATCAATTCTGTACCTACAATGTGCTAAAAGGGTAATAAATCAAAGAATGTTTTTTTTCTACCGGAATGAACTTTTCGTTACTCGCTTTGAAAGATACCGCAACTGTTGATCGTTTAACGTTACACGGTGGGCGCCTGTGAAACTAAGACACGGGCGCGAGTGACATTATTCCTGCCACAATTCCATTCATACGGTGAGCCACATTCCTACAACAGAGGACAACCCATGGAGAGACACATCCATGACCTGATTGGGATTTGAACCCGCAATCATTGGCTTATCAGTCCTGCACACCGACCAAAGAATTATGAGCACGAGAATAATGACTATATATGTATATGTACTGGTGTCTCTCTAACAAGAGGAGAATAGAAAGCAAGAGGTGAATAATTTATAGAGGTTTTAAATATATAAAAAATCCTCTTCTGGCATTTAATATTCGAGCGTTATACATAAACTGACCAGCATCCTCCTGAAATTTAAAAAAAAATGCTGCAAAATTTTGAAAAGAGCATTCGTAAGCTTCTTATTTTACCTTTCTAATTGTTTAAAAAAGTATTTCAATTAGAGAATCTCTGCGAAAGGATTTCTCTTCTGAGCAATGAGTTTTGAAAATGCTAAGCAATGAGTTTTCAAAGATATGAAAAGAAATTTTGCTACCAGTTTTTTATTTTTAGGAGCTCGCTGGTCAGCTTACTACACGGAACAATATATTTAATAGTAAATAGTATAGCAAAAAAATCATGATTCCTGAATTTATTGCATTTTAATAACTATCGGCCGTGGTAGCCCAGTGGTTAGGGAATCTGATTACGGTCCGGAGCGGCCGATGTTCGATCTTCGAATCTTCTAAGACCCACTGAGTACATACTCGCTCTTAAAATCTGTGGAATCGTGTGGTCAGTCGCTGAGCAGTACCATTGGTACAGGGATAAGACGACAATTTCTTTCCCCTTCAGATCTATGTCTAAATAGTGGAAGTAGGCTCACAAAATTGCGATGACATCTCTTCGGCTCATTCTCAGGGCTTTTTTTTTCTCCAGACAAACTCCAATTATCCCTTTGTACAGCTCTAGTGCGTAGTAAATAAAATACCTACTTACCCATTTTAACAACTATACTTTATTTTTCAGGCACAGATTTCATGCTTCAGGATTTGAATTTTGATATGGATTACGCTGTCCGAGTGAGTGCTAAGAATAATATAGGATTCAGTGAATTCACCGATCCTAAGTTGCAGAGGACTAAAGGTCTGATAGCCGAAACAGTAGTCGACGGCGGCAACGTTTTGTCTTCCACATTCAGCGATTCAGCCATGTCATCATCCTTAAATCATCCATTGTACTCTCTAGTCCTCGCCATCAGCATCATATTCTTCCACAGCAGATACACTGTATCTTGATTTATTTTTCTGGGACTGGAAGCGAGCTTGCAACCGTTTTATTGTGATCAAATGAGTGAATAAATATTAAATCGTTATTTTGTTGGCAAATTATGGTGACAAACAGGCCCTGCTACCGCAGTTGAGAGAGCTGCACTGAATGTATTCCCCGTGTATCCAGCACACATGTTCCTTGAGTGGTTTTGTGCAAATCTAAATATAAATGTGTTGTGAATTGATACATTGCTGTAAAAAAAACATTTTATGCTGTTTTGCAGGCATAGGATGTATAAGAAATAACGAAGTTTGTGTTGACAAGAATCGATGTATGATACATTTATCATTTCTCGTGTATTAAAGAAGTCAACGTGGGAAATATTTATGCTTTTAAAGGCATCTGTATTATATCGCATAAAATTACATTCAGATAACCGGAATACTAAAACATCCGGAATGTGACTAAAAACCATGCACAGAAAATCCACGTATTTTCGTCGATGTTATTTTTGTTCAAAATATTTTAAACACTGGATAGATTGCATCATGTTGCAATAGCTTTTATAAGTTAACTGAATGATGTGTGGTTGACAGAGATAACAGTGATTTGACAACAAAGAGCTCTTTAAAGGAAATCTGAAGGAGATGTGATAAGTCGTGTTTCAAAACCAGATAAATTAATTCAGTTATTTATTTATTCTTTCTTTCAGATTCAGGAATTGCTTCACGTTTACATGCAATTTTCAGCCTTTTCTTAATACCAGACTAATGAAAAAGAAATAATTAGAATTAAGAAATTTCAAAGAACATAAATCCTTGTGGAATTTAAACCTTAAGATTAAAACTACTCAGATGCAAACTTGTATTCCAGTTATGCATTCCCAAATTCAGGTACTCAGCATTATCTATTTCGAATTCAGATACATCCCTTTGTTTGAATGCAAAAACAATAATTTAAAAATGATTTTACTTCCTTTCAAAATTAAGCTTTATTGATTGAAACTAGGATCGATTTCTCAAAAATGATGATCCAAATAAATTATTTGCTGAAGAGTTGAAAACAATTTATCTGTTTTTAAATTTAACCTCTCACACATTAACTTTTTAATTGGTCACCAAAATATTAAGAACGAAAAAAAATTAATCTTCCAATATTACAAAACTTTTATTACAGAAGGAGTTCATGGAAGAAAAAAGATTTTTTGATTGATTCGAAAATTTATGTACGCTTTACTCTCATAATGCCATGACAAAACAATGTATACTAACTATGGATTAATGATAGTTAAATACATTCTTTAATCTCTTGTCAGTACATTTAATTTATTAAGCATCCAAACAAATATATAAACACCAAGTTCGAAAGAAATTAAATTTGTAACAAAATAGAAATATTGATTTCGACAAAAAAAAAAATCTTTCATAAAGTGACTTATTTTAATTCTTGGAAAATACATTTTTTTATATATTTGATGCTGCCGAGTAAGTAATATAAACAAGCACAAATTTGAGAAAAATGTCTGTCGTTAAATTTATCAGAAAAACTCCATCTTTCTGAGCTAAGTCACGCGCACGACAGAAATACAATGCAAAATACGGCATAACATTTTGCAAGAAGTTTTTCTAATGCTGAACTTTATGTAGATTTATAAAAATGCGTACTTGTCTAGCCCAGTATTTAAAAAAAAATTATTTTCAAAAAAAAAAAATTTAAGTCATTTTTTGAAATTTTTGTGCACAGAATTTTGAGATGATTTATTTAATTCCTTTAAAGAACAGTTTTACTTCAAAAGCATTTTTTTAACAAATGGCACTTTATAGTACGCAAATCCATTTTTATATTTCATTTCATGAAACGAAAATGTAAAGATACAGCTGGAGATAGCGATTTTTCTAATTTATAATCGGGAGGTTTTTTTTAAAATTGTTTTAAACAAATCTGTGGCAAAATTCTTCAACGTCAGTTAAATGTTATTTTATTCAAAAACAAACTTTATAACTTTTAGAAAGAAAAAAAAACAATTGTTTTAAACATATGCTCTGTATACGAGGCTAAAAAAACAAATACCATTGACTATTGCTTGATTTTATAAAGTTAAAAAAGCACTGCAAATTCTGTAAAAATGCAACTAAAAATAAATGCATTCGTTCCTTCGCTACGAAATCGATTTCAACCGTTCTAAAATTCTAATCTGCATACATGAATACATCTTTAATTGGATGGTGCCAAAAATGTTATTTAAACTCGTTAAGTCGCATTTAACTGTAAAAACACAGTTATACGTGCATTTTATACATTGAGGCAAGGAAAACAATTTTGTTTACTTTCATTTTTATGCGAATTTATCTTTGAATATTTTCTGACTCATAATTTGGGATTAGTTTAAAAAAAAGCATGAAATTTCCAGAATGACCACTGGTTATTAAATATTTTTAAGATCCTCGTTAGGAATTTCAATCCTAAAAAACTACTGACTTGCAACTACTGCTGATTATAAGGACTTGTAACTACTGCAGTGTATGCATTAAAAATGACGTCTACACAACAGTAAAGGCAAATAAATAATTAGGTAAGAAGCATAAAAACTCTTTTTAAATCTATCGAATCACTACTGTGGAGAGAATGATTAGAATCATCAAAACTTGCTTGATTACCAAAGGAAGCAAGAGTTGAAATGTGCTTACTAGAAATTCTTGCATGTTTAATATTGCTATCGTATTTTTTTTTTCATTTTTTTTCTCACCAGCGATTCAACAGACTACGCTTAAATATTAATTTAAAACCCTAATGAACACAGGTACTTTTTTCTCTGAAATAGCCTGGGATTTTAAAAATATTTTTCAGGGCATTGATTACGGAACAAATTGTATATGAATTCCATGTATTTTGAAAATTTTAATGAATGTCACTGGTGATAGACCAGCCGAGTTTGCTGGGCCTGGGGCAGGGATGGGCAAACTTTTTTTGTCGAGAGCCAAAAGTCGAGAAAAAAAAAGATTGCTGGGCCTAGTAAGAACTTTAAAAATAAAAAAATAAAAAACGATATACAAGTTTTTATTTAAATATTTAATGAGATGAATGAAATTGTGATTTCATTTTTAAAAGTTCCTTATATTGAAATTAGAAGTGGGATGTGCTTATTTTACGGAACGAGGTTAAATGCTTGTATGTTAGTCTACTTCTGAAATGATTTCTTCTATGGTTCATAGCTGAAAACACTTTGTTCACACATATAAGATGAAGCAAACATAGCACTGATTTTCTGGGCAAGAGATATTAAATTTTGGAAACTAGCTTTTGGTAATGATTTGCCTAACTCAAACTTTGGCATGTTTAGAAGCAACAATAGTGTGCAATCGTTACATATTCAATAAATAATGTTAGAACTCGCACCGGCAGAAAAATCAGCTCGTTGGAGCTTAAAATGTGCTGTCTGCCATAGGTGAAGCACAATTCACCTATGTTAGGTTTCATATGTCTGATCCTCGAGAAAAACAAACGCTCGTGGGACCTAATCTGCGGCTATTCTATAAAGAACTTCTGCTTTGAAAATTTTACCAATTGACTATTTCAATCAATTCCACCAATAGAGAAGTAAAAGGGTTATCAGTACTTTGTTAAAAAAGAAGGAACAAAAAGTAGCTTTAAACAAAGTAGACAGAATTATGGATGCATAATATATCTTGTTTATATTCGCCACGGATCGGCAAGTTAGAATTCTATCCACGGGCTGGATAAAACCTTCCGGAGGGCCAGAGTTGGCCCGCGGGCCGTAGTTTGCCCATCCCTGGCCTAGGGCATGGCCGACAGATTTGGATTCCTCTTAGGTGAGGGGTATCGTGGCGTCAAGTTGACTTTTGATTGGCTAACTTTGGGGTTGGGGAGATATTTGAATTCTTGTATAGCAATTCTATACTTTTCATCAAAATATCTTAAAAGGATGTACTGTTCATCCTTATTTAAATATTTTAATCAATCAAAATATTTACTTAGAAAATCAATCCATTACCAAAACAAAAAGAGTAGTGGCCCTTTTAAAATTGTTTTTCTGCTACAAAATATTGTGTCAGTAAAATAAAATTCCCATTTAATGTTTCACCAAGAAAATATTTGAAAAAAAGCTAAGTAAAAGTATTTTTCTCCGAAAAAGAAAGTCTCCATTTTTCAGTCAACGAAAATAAAATTTCATCTCAACCTCTACAATCTCTACTCTAAATGTATGGCACGCAAGTAAATATTCGATATTCCAAACATTTATTTTCTTTTTTTTTCCTCTTCGTTTTTTTCAAAAAAAGAATTCTTTCTTCGTGAAATGAAAAACAAAGTGAACAGGGAACATAAATTATTTTTTTATATTTAAATTAAATATTAAAATTCAGAATTGCATGATTTTTAATGATGTTCTAGTAATATTTTTAAACAAACTACAGATGAAGAAAATAAATAATATATTGTTTAATAGTAAAAAGAAATTATATTTTATTTATAATTAATGGGATTTAGTACGTTTATGCTATGTAAATTGATAGAGGTCTAAAACGCATTTATTTTTTTAAATTTTCTATATTTTTAAGTTGGATTTACTATATTTTTTTACATAAAATAAAATTTCTTAACATAAAAGACTTATGACCACTTCTTAATTAAAAGTTATTTTAAATGAACTTTTCCAGGAATACACATTATGTCAACATAAAACCTCAATAATATATTACTTATTGAATCTGTATCTAAGATTAGGAAAATAAATAACTTATATTTTCCTAAAAGTATTTTAATAAGAGTTATTGAAATAAAACAATAAAAAACGTTTCTGCTAATTGAAACGAACAATTCCATAACTGTACCAAAAGCTAAATTTATATTTATTAAGAAATATTCAATTTACACAAATTATTAACGTTTTTCATAAGTTGCCAAATATGTAAGAAGTGCTTGGAGCAATGTAGATAAGCTGACCAGCGTCCTGACAAAACTAGAAAGCCAGAAAAAAGTTTCTTCTGCTTGTCCGACTGAACAATTAAAATTATATTTCGTAGATAGCATCTACATCCCATGTTTGGATGACCTGGAATGCTAAGAAAACCGGTGTGAAAAAAATTATTAGTTCAGCGAGAGCATGTTGTTACATCTGATTTCCTTTTAATGACGTTTTTTCAAGTTCAATTTTTCAAGTTCAAAGCAAAGTTTTTCAAGTTGATAAAGGAAAATCAAATCTCGAATCAGAACTAATAAAAGTTGTACTTTTTTATTTTACGTCCGGTATATTTACTTTAAAAAAATTATTAAATCTTATTTCAAAACTTATTTGTTCCATTTTTCTGGTTGAGTTATACATTTTGACATAGTGGATTTCTTTAGCCGTTGATAATGCTCTACGATAAAGTTAATTTAATTTCCAAAACAAATTTTAATGACATAAAAAAATACATTACAATACGTATTATTTCAAAGTTAGTAAATCAGAATTGATTCAGTATTTCCCAAAAAGAGATTCATTAAAGTTGGCCATAGATGCTTCTATTTAATCATATGTGGTTGGTCATTTTAACGAAGTTAAACTACATTAACTTATTTTAAGTTCATATATGTTAAAGCATCTTTTAAAATAATGTAATTTCATATGGAATAAAAACTCAACACAAAAAAAAACTTGACTGTATAAAAACTTAATTGTATCAATTTTTAGAATATATTTAAGGTCAATGGATTACTACGATCATTTAATAGCAAATAAAAAATGCATTTGACTAAAACATCCTCCTAAAACATGTGTATTAAGTTGATAAAATTAATGTGTATAGAAATTTTTTCTTTTTACTTCCTTTACGAGAAACGTTATGAAACGAAGGTTAACGCTACATATTCTTCAATTATTAATTTGACACGATATTGTTTAAAATTGAGAGTAAATTAAAAAATATATACTTGAATGAAATCTTGGTTTTTCAGAAATTGGCAACTGTAATATCCTTCTAAAACATGAAAAAACAGAACTTTTTTATAAGCTATTACATTTTTGTTTTGTCTCTATATATTTCATGTGAAGCTTAATAACTTTTCTCGTTTATTTATTTCTGTCTTAATACAGCTACTGTTTTTAAAACCAAAGTCTAAAAATAAACATG